TAATAACAATGACCTTACAACACCTACTAACATGCTTAATGATGATCTTGACTCAATCTCTGAATGGTCAAAGCGATGGCAGATCCTATTCAATCCGAATAAGACTGTAGCTATTAACTTCTCTCGTAGACACATTAACAATCATCCTCAACTGCTATTTAACAATACTCCAATTGCACAACATGAACACCATACTCACTTAGGACTAACATTTAACAGTAAAGGGACATGGTCAGATCACATTTCAAATATTTATAAGAAAGCGAACTCTAGACTAAGTATTCTTAGAATTTTAAAAACTACAGTTGATAGGAATACATTAAAAACATTATATGTCTCTTATATAAGACCTGTGCTAGAATATTCTGATATAGTATGGGATAATTGTACCAAATCGGAATCAGATCTTTTAGAATCAGTTCAACTAGAAGCTATGCGTTTAATTACTGGCCTCAGACGAGGTACATCTCATCATATTCTGTATACTGAAACACAACTTGAAACATTACACACACGAAGACAAAATCATAAACTAACATTAATGTATAAGATTCTTAATAATTACACTCCAACTTATCTCGATAATATCATTCAACCATTTCTAAATGTAAATAATAACTATACCTTCAGAAATAACAGATTCTTTAATATACCACAGACAAGAACTACTACTTATATGAATAGCTTCTTCCCTTCTACAATGGTAAAATGGAATGCACTTGATAGCACTGTACGAGACTCCATCTCAATTTCATCTTTTAAAAAGAAACTTAAAAAACTTTTGATACATGCGTCTCAGAAACTTTTATTAACTGTGTTCCGAGGAAATTTAACATCATTTTATGTCAGCTAAGAAATTTTAAAAGTGCTCTTAACTTTGATAAGTTTCAAGACCATCTGATTGATGATGCTTCCTGTGTATGTGGTGTACAGAGGGAAGATTTAATACATTTTTTTCTTTCAATGTCCTCTGTATTCAAATATTAGGCATCATATTACCACTATTTATAATCTATTAGGATATTTAAATCTGCACTGTTTAGTATATGGTATTAGTAATGCATCGGACCAATTAAATAAAACTAGTCTTATACATGTTGACTCTTATATTAAATCATCCAAATGTTTCGTTACTTATACGTGGTAGATACATTCAAAATGAATATTCATGTATTGTTATTATTATTATTATTCAGGCAAGTTTTATCCCTTAAATAACGAGTATTAGACATAAGCTGGTGTGGGTGTGCATGAGTGTGAGAGGAAAACGAAGAAGACTGATATAGGCAAAGCCTGTTGTCTTATTCTTTTGTCAATACTGTTCTAATATCTTCTTTAATGTTTGCATTATATATATATGTTGTCAATAAAATACTTTTGAAATTGAAAAAGGAGAGGTCCATTTACGTCTCTGTACATCTGCCTAGTTATCACGATTTCAATACAATACTATTATGAAGCGATTCATACGTAAAGTCTAAGTAACGCGCCCGAAATAATAAGTCGAGCGCTCGAGATAATTAATGAAGAAAATGATAGTATGCATGTCTCAAATGAACCACCTATCCTGCTGAGAAGCAATTGTTTTTCCCGCCACCAGACGCAGGGATTGTCTTCGGTGTTGTTTTTTTCTGAGCGAGCGGAGTGATCTCTGGGATGGGGAACTTCAGTTTTTTTACATAAAGGTTTCAGAGGGTACGCAATCATTTGTTTATGTATCCAAGGGGTTACGCTCACTTTCGCTCTTTGCACCCCTGTAATATGTCATAGCAAAATTGAAGGCGCCGTGTGCGCCACCTTGTTTATGAGACAAGAATACTAGTTCGGTCCTTTGATGTTCATCAAAAGAATCTCGCGGTCACGTAACGGTAAAAGTTAACAGGCTTTGAAGTCGAGCGTCTTTCCTTTGGAATCTTCAAAGGACAGGACTGTAATATCAGACCGGAAACAGATCTGTTTTCCGCATGCAATATAGCGGCGAGTTTTTTTTTATCAAATAACATATCAGGCCTGAGTAGCTTTGGATACAGTATGTATAGGTACTACAAAAGATCATACTTGTTTTGAAAATCACAAGCTGATTGAGTACACAAGGTTGGATTAATTGTTTTGTTTGTAAAACATTGTTGATGGGTCGGTAGGACCTGCCAAAATTTGCAAGCTTAAAACCGCTGTGTACACAACTTGTCAATTCCACGTGTCAAACCTTACCTATGGTTTTTAATTTTTAATTACGCATTGTAATTAGCTTTGCTCTATTGAGATGTGTTCTTGTTAATATATTGTGATCTTCTTGTGTCAATTTCTGGACAAAATGACCGCTGAATACATGTGGAGATAACGTCTCGGGCCAGATTTTTGTGACCGCTGACCGAATTAGACAGGTGTGGCTGCTTATTTCAGGTTCATTGTAAAATGTTTTTCTATCGGTCGGACCACAGACTGACCACATAAGGGAGGTGGCTTTAATTTGTCTGCATAGGATCACTAACAAATATAGTATCCATCAATTCTTCAATAAATTCTTCACCTATTCGTTTCAAATATGTCCGAAACGATTTTATCAACTCTGCAGTGATACGTAAAACAGTTCGAACAAAGATACACTTGAACAGTATTTACTATTTACATCGTAAAGCTATGACATATGCATAAAATCCCGAAAACAGATACTGTTTAATCTTAAATCAGATATGTGTATCAAGATATATATCGTATCGAATGTATTGAGCTGTGAAAAAACAGTTTACGGGGTACAGGGTACGGGGTGAAGGGGTACAGGGTACAGCGTAGACTGAAACAACTCATTAAATCGTTCAGCTTCGCAAGACTTTGTTGTGTATTGTAGCAAAAAAAAGTTTGCTTGCATAAGGAAATACACTTTCATTTCGGGTATTATTAATCAAAGTTTAAATAAATTCGATTTGTGAGTTCGCTGATTCTTTTTTTAAACACCAGAAACGATGTTATCCACTGTGCAGAGATACAAAAACGTACAACAGCTAAAATAAGAAGAATATATATTTGAACTGTATTTACTATTTACATCGTAAAGCTACATGTATTGTAAAACTAACTTTAAAGTCCGACAGGAGTCGAACCCGGTACCTCTTGCTTACTAGTCTTACACTCCGCTAAATGAGCTAAAGAGAAATTCTCCTTATCCGAGTCGTTAGGAAGTGGCTAGCAATTTACCATGTTCACCGTTTTAGCAACACATCAAACACCCAACGTCACGCCGAAATACCGCATGAGGGGCATAGCTCTGTGTAACAGCTAAAGCGTTGTAATTCAACACACTTTTGTGTCTTTCTAAATTATTCAGAGATATTCTTTTACAATTGTTGTACAGATTTCATTGAATTTGATTGGTTCCTATTGTATTTTACACGAACACGACAAGCATCGGATAAACATACTGAACTCTATACCTTAATATTCGCTCGGCACACACACATACATAAATCGACTACATTGCATAACGCCATACCAGACTATAATAACCACATATCGAAACATGAACAATACAGTTATAGCATGAATATTCAAATTATATTTAATTGCATATTGCGATCAAGTATTCATTTTACGTAATCATTTCTATACTGAACAGTCATTACCCTCGTTACTTGCAAACAGAAAATGCACATTGAACGGAAATGAATCAAACTTAGTAACCTATGATGAATGAACACTACAAGGTATATACTAAAAATCAGTAAATTTGTGGATTCTGATCATGACGAGAACAGCAATATAACAGCTGCCAGCAAATTAAAATGTTTAATGAGTGGCACGTGAAATAGATTATATTATTGTTTGCGTGAATCAATATCACTTCATTGAAAATGTTTAAAATCACTTAAATAGGATATAGGAGACAAAATTTAAATGAGCTTATGCTAACAAAGGCTTACTACTGACGTACGATTACGTGTTGAATGCTATGACAATGTTCATAGTCTATATCTAATAAGCATAGATTGTATCAAGAACGAAGTAATAGTAGTGCTTAATAAAGCAAACGGTTTATCGCTGAGTTCATGAAATCACTGAAGAAGTTAATGGCTGTTCTCTATAAAGGCAGGAGTGGGATGATGCACAAGCAATGATACTTAAAATTCATTAAAACGCTACATGTAAGATACGAAAATAATAGCAAGGATGGAAAATATGTCGACATCATCTGAGGAGAAGTCGACATAGTTTATTAATATGTCGCCGAAACAATTCTTAAATAAATTGATATATATTTGCATTTTCCGAAATAATTTTGCTGTGTAAATAGTCGGGAGTGAAATCGACTTACCATTAAGAAATCTAGAGAATATTACCGACATATGGAACCTTAATCGGTGTTCATAGTTTATAGATCTAATTCATATTCGTTATTTCTACTCCTCATGCTAAAAAATATTAGAAGACGATTTTTAGATACTATTTTTTTGTTTCATATTAATTAGAGGCAAGTCGATGTCACTACCGAACATTTACACGAATACATTAAAACAAATAAGGATGTTGTAGTCATGAAACTATTGCAGTCATTTAACCAACCACGTTTCCTTTATCAACGAGGTCAATAATTTTATTGTAATAATTTTGATAAATCAACATGAAATGGACACGGATGTAAAATTCTATTTATATCACATAACGCTAATAGTTTTAAAAAACAAATAACACACTTGTGTGTTATCAGATAACTCTGTATAGGTCAAAACCTAAGTATTCCGATCATAGCGTTGTCGTTCCGCGCAGTGCAAAGTAGTTCAGTTTTTTATAAATTAATACAAGTAGTACCTGTAAAAACGTAAGAATTTGTTCGCACGGTTTTGACCAATCGCAAAACATCTAGATTGTATAACACCTTTGTAATACCATATTTATGATATGACCGTTTGACAAAGTAAAGTGGGTCATATAGGTGGTAAAATGGTTTGAATGGTCGATAACAACGTATCAGGGACATATTTTAATAAAGTTTACTGTTTTTGTTTCAGATGTTTGCGTCTCGGCAAATGTCGAAGATGATGATCACAGCAGTGATCCTTTGGTTCAACGCATTTGCATTTGTGACAGGTATGTATACTGTTACCTATATTTCTTGAATGTTCCCCGTATATCTATACTAGTACCCGTAAGTCTATACTATTATCCGTAAGTCTATACTGTTATCCGTATGTCTATACTATTACCCGTATGTCTATACTATTACCCGTATTTCTTGCATACTAGACCGAGATATCCGCATTTCCGGTGGTGCTGGAAATTCTTTCCTACCCACGGGTCTAGATAGCTTACACGCGCAGACTGGTGATATAATTATAGTGACATTTCGGGGTCGCGCTATTGTTCGTGACCATATTATGACATTTTGGGGTCAGTCAGGGTCATTGAAGTCATTAACAATTATCATCTGGACTTCATATGCAAATGAGAAATGTGCGGACAGTTTACAACATTACTAGAAGAGTAGCTGTTTTACGAGTTTTAGGTTAAAATATTAAGCAAAAGACACTCGGCAAAGCCTCGGGTCTCCTGCTCAATATTTTATCCCTTGAGTTTGAATAACCTTATCCATACCTCATATCAGGGATGGATTATATTAGTCTATACTTAAACCCGTATGTCTATACTATTGCCCGTATGTCTTTACTATTACCCTTATATCTATACTATTACCCGTGTGTCTAAACTATTACCCGTATGTTTATACTGTTCCCCGTATGTCTGGACTATCACCCGCATGTCTATACAATTACCAAAATGTCTGAACTATTACCCGTATGTCTATAGTGCTTCCCATATAATTATAATGTTATCTGTATTTATCTATACTGTGTTATGCGTGTGTCTATACTATTACCCGTATGCCTATACTGTTATCTGTATGTCTATACTATAACCGGTGTGTCTATACTATTACCAGTATGTGTTATTGTTCCTGTATCTCTATACTGTTCCCCGTAATTCTTTACTATTACCCGTATGTCTATACAATTACCCGTATGTCCATACTATGACCAGTGTGTCTATACTATTTGATGTACCCATGTGTCTATGTTATTACCCGTATTTCTATAATATTATCCGTGTGTCTAAACTATAACCCGTATGTCTATACGACAACCCGTATGTCTCTACTATAATCAGTGTGTCTATACTTTTACCTGTATGTACATGTTTATATTGTGTGCCGTATGTGTATACAATTACCCGTATGTGTATACAATTACCCATATATCTGTACTATTACCCGTATGTCTACACTATTACCCGTATGTCTATTATAATACCCGTATGGTTCTCATATTTCACGAATGTCTGTATTATTACCCGTATGTCTATACTGCTTCCCATATGTTTATAATATTATCCGCATTTCTATAATGTTACGCGTATGTCTAAATAATAACCCGTATGTCACTATTATTACCCCTATACCTATACTGTTTCCCATATATTTATACTGTTACCCGTAAATTTATACTGTGTACGTGATGCTTATCTTTAGTATTACCTATATGTCATACTATTACCAGCATGTCTACACTATTACCCGCATGTCTATACTATTACCCGTATGTCTTTACTGTTATATGTATATGTATCATATTACCCGTATGTCTATAGTGCTTCCCATATAATTAGACATTTACGAGCATATATCTATACTGTGTTATGCGTATGCATAACATTACTCGTATGTTTATACTATTGCCCGTATATCTAAACTATTACCCGTATGTCTATAATATAATCCGTATGCCTACACAATTATCCGTATGTCTATACTATGACATGTATGTCTATACTATTTTATGTTTCTGTATGTCTATGCTATTACCCGTATTTATATGATGTTACCCGTATGTCTATACTATCACCCGAATGTCTGTACTATTACCCCTATACCTATACTGCTTTCCATATATTTATACTGTTACCCGTAAATTTATACTGTGTACGTGATGCTTATCTATACTATTACACATATGGCTATACTATTACCCGCATGTCTATACTATTACCCGTATTTCTATACTATGACCCGCATGTCTATACTATTAGCCGTATGTCTATAGTGCTATACGTATATGTATAATATTATCTGTATGTCTATACAATTAACAAAATGCCTGAACTATTACCCGTATGTCTATACAATTACCCATATGTCTATACGAAAACATGTATGTCACTACTATCGCCCGTATGACTATGCAATTACCCATATGTCTATACGAAAACCTGTATGTCACTACTATCGCCCGTATGTCTATACTATTTCTGTATGTATATATTGTTACCTGTATGTTTAATTTATTACCCGTATGTCTATACAATTGCCCATATGTTTGTACTATTACCCGTATGTCTATACTATAACCCGTATGTATAAATTATTACCCGTATGTCTATACTGTTACCCGTATGTCAAAATTGTTACCCGTATGCCACTAATATAACCCGTATGTCTATACTATTGTTCGTATGTAATTACTGTAACACATATGTCTATACTATTACACGTATGTCTATTATGTAACTTGGATGTCTATCTAGTCCCCGTTTGTCTGTAATATTATCCGTATGGGTATACTATTACCCGTATGTCTTTACTTTGACCCGTATGTCAATACTAAAACCCGTATGTAAAAATTGTTACCCGTATGTTTCAATTATTACCCGTATGTCTATACAATTTCTCGAATGCTGTACAATTACCCTATATCTATACTGCTTTTCATATATTTATACTATTACCCGTATGTGTGTACTATTACCCGTATGTCTGTACTATTACTCGTATGGTTATTCTTTTACCCGTATGTCTGTACTATTGCCCGTATGTTTATACTTTTACCCGTATGTCTGTACTATTACCCTAATGTCCTTACCGTTACACGTATGTCTATGTTATTACCCAGATGTCTGTACTATTACCCGTATGTCTATTCTATAATCTGGATATCTAACTATTACCCGTGTGTCTTTGCTATTACCCGTATTTCTATACTGTAACCCGTATGTCTATACTATAACCGTATGTCTATACTATTACCCGTATGTATATATTGATAACCGTATGTTTAAATTAATACACATATGTCTATACAATTACCAATTTGTCTGTATAATATCCGTATGTCAATACTATAACCCGTATGTATATAATGTTACCCGTTTGTTAATACTATAACTCGTATATCTATACAATTACCAAAATGCCTGAACTATTACCCGTATGTCTGTACAGTTACCCGTATTTCTGTACTATTACCCGTATGTCTATACTATTACCCATATGTCTATACTCTAACCCGTTACCCGTATGTATATACTATTACACGTATGTGTATATTGTTACCCGTATGTCTATACAATTACCCATATGTCTATACGAAAACCTGTATGTCAATACTATCGCCCGTATGTCTATACTATTACCAGTATGTATATATTGTTACCTGTATGTTTAAATTATTACCCGTATGTCTATACAATTGCCCATATGTTTTTACTATAAACCGTTTGTCTATACTATAACCCATACGTATAAATTGTTACCCGTATGTCTATACTGTTACCCGTATGTCAAAATTGTTACCCGTATGCCACTAACATAACCCGTATGTCTATACTATTGTTCGTATGTAATTACTGTAACACATATGTCTATACTATTACACGTATGTCTATTCTGTAACTTGGATGTCTATCTAGTCACCGTATGTCTGTAATATTATCCGTATGGGTATACTATTACCCGTATGTCTTTACCTTGACCCGTATGTCTATACTAAAACCCGTATGTAAAAATTGTTACCCGTTTGTTTTAATTATTACCCGTATGTCTATACAATTTCTCGAATGCTGTACAATTAGTCCTATGTCTGTACTGCTTCCCATATATTTATACTATTACCCGTATGTTTGTACTATTACACGTATGTCTGTACTATTACCCGTATGGTTATTCTTTTACCCGTATGTCTGTATTATTACCTGTATGTCTATACTATTACCCGTATGTCTGTACTATTACCCTTATGTCCTTACCGTTACACGTATGTCTATACTATTACCCTTATGTCTGTACTATTACCCGTATGTCTATTATATAATCTGGATATCTAACTATTACCCGTGTGTCTTTACTATTACCCGTATTTCTATACTGTTACCCGTATGTCTATACTATAACCGTATGTCTATACTATTACCCGTATTTCTATAATGTTACCCGTATGTCTATACTATAACCGTATGTCTATACTATTACCCGTATGTATATATTGTTAAGCGTATGTTTAAATTATTACCCATATGTCTATACAATTACCCATTTTGTCTGTATAATATTCGTATGTCAATACTATAACCCGTATGTATATAATGTTACCCGTTTGTTAATACTATAACCCGTATATATATACAATTACCCGTATGTCTGTGCTATTACCCGTATTTATATACTGTTACCCGTATGTCTGTACTATTACCCGTATGTATATATTGTTAACCGTGTGTTACAATTACATATATGTCTATACGAAAACCCATATATCTATATTATTACCCGAGTGTCTCTGCTATACCCGGTGTGTCTGTAATATTGCCCGTATGTCTAACTATTACCGTATGTCTATATTTTTACCCGTACAGTGTATGTATCAACTGTTAAACGTATGTATATACTATAACCGGTGTGTCTATACTATTACCCGTATGTTTACACTGTTCGAGTGTCTCTATACTGTTCCCCGTATGACTTTAATGTTACATGGATGTCTATACTATAACCAGTGTCTATCTACTATAACCAATATGTTTGTACTATTACCCATTAGTATATAGTGTTACCCGTATGTTTAAATTATTACCCGTATGTCTATATTATCACCCGTACATTTACCCGTATATCTATACTGTTACCCGTATGTTTAAATTATTAATCGTATGTCTATACAATTACCCATAAGCATCTACTGTTACCCATATGTCTATACTATTACCCTTGTGTCTATTTTATAACCCGTATGTCTATTTTATTACCCGTATGTCTATTTTATTAC